GATGAAAGTAAACAAAAAAAAATATTAAACCATATTTATTTCATTAGGTTAATAATAGATAAAATATTTAATGATATTGATATGGAGTATCTATCAATCCTTTCTCTCTTTGTTATCTATTAGAAAACACTTAGATTTTTTTATTAATTTTACTTTCTATTTTTTCTACCTAAAGATAGAAAATAATAGGGTTAATAGCATTTTGTGCCACTCTTCAACTATCCATTAACAAACGTACCATTTTACTATATTTTTGCACAAATATACCATTTTAATATTAAAACGTAACGATTGTACCCTTCTATCCAATTTTCTGCTAAATGATCGTTTAATAGACTGTAAAATAACCTTATTGCCCCTTATTAACTCATAATTTCGATATAATTAATTTTGGGTTATAGGTATAATATGCCCCTCTACTATGACGTTTTATCAAACATATCCTTCTACTATTATATCAAACATGTCCCTGTAGTTTGTAAAAATGATCAAACATGCCCTTTTGTTTAAATTTTCATCCAAAAACTGTTAACCAAGGTCAAACTTTGGTTTGGGCGGCACAAATGTCTAAAATATTTCTAATAATTCCACTTTAGAATTATTTTTAGTTCTTTTGTATAGCCAAATAATTCGAATAATTTCACTTTGAATAGACCCAGAGAAATAAAACGGGAGACAAAACTGATATTTTCGCTCCCATTTGCCGATGTCGGTTCGTCTAAATCTCGGTTCAACCATGATTGACGATTTTTTCAATGAAAATTTTAACAGAAGGGCATGTTTGATAGTTTTTTCAAAGTACAGGGGCATATATGATATAAAAAATAATAAAGAGGCATGTTTGATAAAAGCGTAATATTATACCTATAACCCATTAATTTTTAATCCTAAACCATTTAACTAATAAATAATAATCAAAACCTACGCCAGGAGGATAGTTAGTAGCTTTCCTTCTTCCACTTTAACCCGGACTCTGGCGCCTCCCCTGTAGCAGAGAAATTGGTTTAGGTATAAAGATTGCTTTAGCCTTTAGGTATAAAAAAATCAATTAAATCCTCCATTTCACATTTCCTCGACCGTAGCACACGCTTTTGATTGTGCGTCGGTAACGTTCCCAGACTCCAGCTGTTTAATCGCCGGACTGGTCATCATCGAGTTGGAATCACGGCTGGGGACTCGTGATTCTAATCTTCTTCCGTCGAGGTCTGGGAGGAAGCCGCCAGCGCTGGAAGGCGGAGGATCAACCGATCTCAGCGTGAGAAGCAAGCCGGTGGCAGTGAAGAGCACTATTGCAGCGAGTACTGAAGTTACAGACACTCTCCTCCTCCGTATCGTAATCCATGGTGCTTCATGTATCTCCGGAATCCAGCGCCGAGTACGTTTGGCAGTGACGATTTTCGCTGAGATGAGATGTGGGACTGGGAGTGACGAGAGAGGAAGATATTTTTTCTGCTACGGCCTACGGGGGAGTCCCCGAGTCGGCGGCAAAGAGGAAGAAGGAACGATGTTGTTTGTAGTGGCGTAGGTTTTGATTTTTAATTAAATGGTTTAGGGATAAAAATTAATAAAATTGAAATTAACTGTTAATATGGGGCAATAAGGTCATTTTACAGCTCTTTAGCCGGTCATTTAAAAAAAACGGATTGAAGGGTACAAATGTTATGTTTTAATACTGTTTATGCCTGGTATGTATCGGGCGGTTTTGTGAGGCTTCACTGGCTTCACACGATCTTGGGGGGATGAGAGGCGGCCCTCGAAGTCCAGCAACAAAGGTCCACAGGGGGTGCCCTGGGACCTCCTCCGATGTCTAAGTTAGAGAGAGAAGTGGATACGGAGTAAATAAGAGAGAGAATGGAGTAGATAGAAGTTACCCCCAATCTAGTTCATCAAGAGGTATTTATACTAGTTGTGGTTGGATCATGGGCATTTAATGGCCTGTCGGGCGTCTCGGGACGCCTCCGACGGTGTTTGGTTGTATCGTCAGACCGTACCTTTGTCAGTCTCCGTACCGAGAGGTTCAGGGTCAGGTGTCCGTTTATCTTTATGTCGGGCGGTCTTTATCATGTCAGGCGGTCTTCGTCGTATTAGGTGGTAGAGACCGCCTTTGGAGGGTTTGGCGGCTCGTTGCCCCTGTTTGGGCCCGACTTGCTTCACTATGGGTTTTGGGTGACTATGGGCCTGAAGCCCAATCGTCTCAATATTTGGCCCAACATTTGCCCCTTAGGCGTGGGAAGCGATAGGTTTTCGCGGCTAAACGATGTCTTCCGCCAATGTTGAGTGGTTTTGGGTCTTCTGGCTTGTAGTTTTACTTTAGGCGGTCGTAGGACGCGTAGAGTATGATTCCCTTATTGCCCATAGTCGCCGAAGCGTAGCGTGAGGTCGCCTGAGGGGTGAGAACCGCATCCGGTCCTGCTATTTGACTCTTGCATTTCCACGTGTCGTGCCTCGGGCGTAGAGCCCTGACACCAGCAGGCGGAACGTCACCTCTGGGGGTGTTCCGCTCTCGAGTTTCGCGAAAACGTCTTATCGGGGCGGCCCCTTTTCCCTTTTCGCCTTTAAGTAAGATTTTGGGAGAAATTTTCTCCCACTCTCCTCCGAACTGGAAAAACTTCTCGTCTTCTTCCTCCTTCTTCCTCTGCGAAAAAGCTCCAAGGTCTTCCACTCCGCCGCCTATATATTCGATTGTTCAGGTGAGTTTTGGACTTGGGTTTCCAGTCTAGGGCGTGCGTTTCTCTTTCCCTTGATGACTCGTGTGTTGTTTTTGTGGGTGGCGTCGTTGTTTCGGGCTTCTGGGAATCACCATCTCTGTTGCTCTCGCCGTCGACAGATGTCGGGCGAAGGACCTCCGTCGTCGATTAGCCGAGCGAGCCGCGATGCCCCCGGTGCGGGGAACGCTTCAGTCGCTGACCCCGAGCCCGTGGTAGCGTCGGGAAAAGAGCCTGCAACTTCGACCGCTACACTGCCTCCCCGCGCCGCCGAGAAGAAAGCCGCGGGAACCGCCTCCGGTATTCAAGGTACGAACTACTCTTCTCCCGCTCAAAGCATGTCTGAATGCTTGTGGGATTTATCCGGGTTAGAGTTATATGTTGGGGATGGATCTGAATTGAGAGACTGCCTTGTTGGGTTTTGCGTAGACTTAGATAACTCTTGTGCTAACCTCCGCCTTGTACCAGTTGGGGTTGTGGCTACCTCGTCGGCGGTCGGGGATAATCTTGGGGAATTTGAATGGGTAGATTTAGATAGCATCTCATTGGAAGATTCAGAGGAGGTAACTAGTGATGGAGCGCGGTCTGGGGCGCATCCGAGTACTTCTTCCTCATTAGAACTTTCGGAGAGTGAGGAACCGAGACCGCTTCCCATTGCCATAAAGGATTCTGTATATACTGTTCTCCTACACGCGGGTATGTGGGGTGAGGAGACCATTCCTGAGGGGGTCTTCGAACAGGGTCCGCCTCACGTGGCAACTTTTATGCCTGAACAGGTGCTATACAGGCTTAAGTCACTGCGTATGCCTCCGGGACTGGCTTTACGCGGTTCCTTCTGGGCGGAGTCGTATTGGATCATGCCCCAGTGGTTGGATTCCTATTCTGGTTGAGCACGTGAAGCTTGGGTTACGGTTTCCTCTTGACGATCTCCTAACCAGGATCTTGCATCGACTCCAGTGCACTCTAGGGCGTCTCTCGCCGACAATTGTCTTCCATTCGGTTATGTACCGTTTGGCGTGTGACCGCCTTAAAGAGGATCCTTCCTTTGATTCGTTTAGGCTGATTTACAACATCCAAGACACATCTAACTGTTGGTCGATCGGGAGGCGGGAAAACTCGGTTTGTTTCGTTACCGGGGCGCCTAAGCTGGACTCCCCGTGGTATAAGGAGTATTTCTTTGCACGCCCTTCGTGGAAATGGTATGCGGGTAATGTTGAGCCGCCTACCGGTTATGCGGTTGGCTCAAAGGACGCCTGGAGTGACTCTACCCAGTTCCCTCAGTCGGTGCGGGACCATGTGGCGCGGATAGTGGAGGGCGTTCAGCTGCGTGTGCAACATAGCGGCTCTAACAGTGCATACCAGTTCGTTCGCGGATTTTATGGTTAGTAGTGTGCATTTGAAATATTGCTATTATCCTTCTCATGTGTTTTTACTTATGCTTCCTTTCTCCAGGGCTAAGGGAGTTGGCGGATGCCAACGGGCCCGGATAGAATAACAACATCTTTTGTGTTGTTATAATAAGGGTTAATACCCTAGTTTGGCCCGAAGTTTGGCGTAAGTGACAGTTCTGGCCCCATTTTTCAAATAAGACATTTATGGCCTACTTTTTAAACTATTGGACAAATTTGGCCCAAAATTTTCTTTGACCTTTAATATTGACGGTCAAACACTATTCCGTTAGTGACTCACCAAAAAACCACTGACGTGGCATGCAACGTCATTAAATAATATTTTTTTAATTTTATAACTTAATTAATTAAGTTATAAAATTAATTATTTTAATTTTAATTAAAATTAAAATTACTGATGTAGCTATATTTTAATTTTAATTAAGTTATAAAATTAAAATAATATTAATGACATGGCATGCCACATCAGTGGTGTTTTGGTGAGTCACTAACGGAATAGTGTTTGACCGTCAATATTAACGGTCAAAGAAAATTTTGGGCAAAATTTGTCCAATAGTTTCAAAAGTAGGCCATAAATGTCTTATTTGAAAAATGGGGCCAAAACTGTCACTTACGCCAAATTTCGGGCCAAACTAGGGTATTAACCCTTATAATAACAACATGATTCATTAAGGGTAAAAGGGTAAACTTATACTGAAAATAATAAAATAAATTTGATTAAAATTTAAGGTCGCTTTAATCCCGCAGCAGACCTCATCTTCCTTCACCCATCGAGACCCTTCTTCCCCGCCGCTCCCTTCTTCCCTGCTGCCCCGCTTTTTCCCCGTCGTCCCTGCTTCTTCCCCGCTGTCGTCGGTGAAGGAATTGTTGAGGTTCCACCTATTCATCAACAAGAAGAGGATGGGCGGGCGAGGGTCGCCGCCGCCGCCGACTTGCAGATCCAAGTGCGGGTCAACATCTCGATGACGGCGCAACCCAGATCTGAGATATTGCACGGCGGCTTGTAGACATTACTGTTTATCGATTCCGGCGCCATGAACAGAGGAGTGCCCCGAATCTCCACCTTCCTCCCCGGTTTCACCTTTTCTTCCCCTCCTGTTCTCATCGCCAATTTGAAATCCTCAATTTTAACTTCCCCATTCTCGAACATCAACACGTTCTGCAGCTTAACATCGCAGTGGATGAATCCTATGTCGTGGATGTGATCCAAACCCTTGAGAATCGATTTTTTGTAACTCTTGACTACCGATTTCGGCAATCTCCGACAGGATTCTTGGTGTGATCGGAGGCTGCCTCCGAGGAACAAATTGTGAAGGTTTTGGCCCCTCTCGAAGCTGCAATCGTCGTCGAGGCAGCGGACGATGTTAGGGCCATAAAGCCCAGTTTCGTTGACATCGTACCCCATGACTGCGTACCCACCACCGTCTTCTCGTTCAATGTACGCCACAAAGGAAAGACGGCCATCTTCCAACGCGAGGCGGCACCAAAAAACCACCTGTCGGAAAAGGGAGCTGTCCTCGAAATCCCAGTGGTAGACGTCGCCGGAGTTCACGGCGAGGGCCCCGAGGTCGTCGTCTACGGATTCACAGTGGACTATCAGCGTCTTCTTGCTGCCCAACTTGTTCGTAATGTTAATGATCTTCGCGTCACTGATTAGTGCCATAATAACAATGGTAATAATGAGCATTAGCGTCATCACCAGCTGCTGCTTCATCCTAGCTAGGAGAAAAGTACACCTGAGTACACGAGATATGATGAGAATGAGGTAGATGCATGCAGGGACTATGTTGTTACTTTTACACCAAATCGATTCTATTCTATGGTTTCATCTGCACTTGCAAGAGAGATGACATAATGATAATAACCTTATTATCTTTTTACTTTTCCTTTACATGGATGTGTGGTCTGGAGCTCACAATTTCTTTTGGTATCAGAAATCCTTGGCGGAATATTACAATTTCTTTTGGAACTCACAATGGTGTGGTATGGAGAATTATACCAGAAATCTCCTAATACGTACAACAAATTGCCTGAAACAAACCAGAGATCCCACAAAGGAAACCACAGAATGTTCGAAAACACACCGGAAACCTCATAATGCAAACCACAAACACCATAAAGCAAACCAAAAACCTCCTATTGCAGACCACAAATCCATTAAAACAAACAAGAAACCCCACAAATCAAACCATACAATTTTCAAAAGCATACCATAAACTTCTTAATGCAACCCAGAAACATAATAAAGCAAACCAGAAACCTCACAAAGCATACTACAAATATTTCGAAAGCACACCGGAAACACAATAAACCAAACCATAAACCTCCTAATGCATACCACAAATCTCCTAAAACAAACCACAAACCTCACAATGCAAACCACAACATTTGCGAAAGCACACTAGAAACTTCCTAATGCAAACCACAAACACAGTAAATCAAACCACAAAAAAACAAACCAGAAACGTCCTAATGCAGACCACAAATATATTAAAACAAACCAGAAACCCCTCAATGCAAACCACAAAGTTTTTGAAAGCAAACCACAAACTTCTCAATGCAAACCACAAACACGATAAAGCAAACCACAAACTTCTTAATACAAACCACAAACACGATAAAGCAAACCACAAAAGGCATACAAAAATATGAGAAACCAAACCATAAATCTCACAATGCATACCATAACAACCGGTGGTCGTTGACCGTTGACCGGTCAACGAAGTTCGTTGACCGAACTCCTGTGACCGTCAGTCAGCAGATTCCGACGCCGATAGACATATTCCGGCCCCGATGACTATATTCTGATTCGGGTAAGCATATTCCGATCGCGGTGAGAATATTCCGGCGACGGTGATGACAAAAAAGCATATTCCGGTGACCGACGACCAGATTCCGACGACCGATGGCCGAATTCCGGCGACCAAAATTTTGGGCCGAAGATAAAAAAAATATTTTTTATTTTTTATTTATTTTTTATTATTATTTAAACATATTTTTCATACTGACAATTATACCCCTGCTTTGATTTTACACTAGGTCAACTCATCTAATAAAAAGTCATCACAATCCTAACTTCCTATTGGTTGGAGACTAGTGTTGTTACAATAACAACAAAAGGAGTGTTGTTATAGTATCTAGTCCCGATGCCAACAGGCCGAAGAAGAGGAAGGCTGGGAGGACCGCACGAGCAGGAGATGCGTCTCCATCGGCGGCGGCCACGATGATTGATCTGTCGGCGGCCCCTCTCGTCAACTCTCCCGCGAAACCGCCTAGTGCGGTTGGTGCGTCCTCCGTTCCTGTTGCTCGGGGTGCGGGCAAGAGGCTGATGGAGGTTAGCTCCCCTCATGTCAAGGCCGGGGAGAAGCACGGTCCCGTCCCGAAGCGGTCGACAAAGCATGATTCCGTAACCGCCCCCCCTTTGGCCTCTATTGACATGGAGGCGGCTGAGTTGGCTTTCCACACGATTAGTGAGCAGCTTGAGATGCCCAATGAGTACACCGCCACCTCGTCGGAGAGCAATAGGCGCCTTGCAGGGACCGCTTCACAGTTCTTCTTCGGGGTTAGTGAGTACACTTGTCGTGTTTAGTTCGTGAGTGTTGACGTTTTGCATGCTGACTTGGATATTGTTTTGCAGGCTCAGATCGGCTTCTCGCAAATCATCCTAATGAATGACCGCCTGTCAAAGACCGTGGATGACAATGTGGTCGAGATCGCAAACCTGAAGAAAGGTGCGGCGGATGGTCGTGCCGCGTTGGAGGGGGAACTACGCCCTCAGATAGAGAAGAATTTCAGTGATCAATTGGCTAGCAAGGACAAGGAGCTTTCAGATGAGAGGGAGGCATCGAAGGCGGTTCGAGCAGAAAGAGACCTCCTCCAAGACTCGCTTCGCAAGTCTGGGGAGATTGAGAAGACTCTCTTGGAGGAACAGGACGCCTTACGCAAGGAGGTGGACGCTCTCCGGTTGGAGAAGGCGTCCTTGCTGGTGACTCACGAGGCGGAGCTGACCGCTGCGCGTGCTGAGGCGGGTCCCGCCTATCTTCAGTCTGCAGAATTCCTTGCCCGAGACAAGGCGAAGTACAAGGAAGTGGTCGACAACGTGGTGGCTGCCATTCGCCACTTATTCCGTGAGGATTGTCCCAATTTGGGCTGGGACACTGACCGCGTATGGGACGCTATTGGTCACTGGTCAGCCTCGGATGTGAATTCAGAAGTGGATGATTCCGAGGAAGATGAGGCGGGGGGCGAGGAAGAGGCTGAGGACAGTGATGCTGCCAGTGGGGGATCCCCGAACGTTTGAGACCGCCCTTTGTTATTTCATTCCTGATTTCTCTATCTCTCGTTGTGTGATTGCGAACTAAGACATTTTCCTTTGCGGAATCTTTATTATTGCGTAATTTGGATGATGTACTAACAATATGTGAGACCGTGTTGGAGCGGGTTTTTAGTTTTTCCTTATGTTTGAAACAATCTGCTTGAGTCCGCGTTGGAGAGGTTTTTCTTATGAGCTTGGTTTTCATTCCTTAAGACTTTGCATATTTCGGACTTGCTTAAGACTTGGCGGTCGCTTAGTGTATTAAGCGGCTTTACGTGGCCTTAGTGGAATTCTTGCCTATTCGTAGATTAGGCGCGTATGAATCATTTCGACCACTAAGTTGTCGGCGCGCACGGTTAGGCGGTTTCTTAGTGGGTTGAGATGTTTTATGTGACTTTGATGGAATTCTTGCCTATTCGTAGATTAGGCGTGTGTGAATCCACGGGAAGCAAAGTTTTGGTTGACAAGAGAAACGAGTGTATTACATAGGGCAAAAGTGGTTCTTGGAAGCAGCCAATACATGGAGAAAATGTCTTTCTATCCACTCAAAATGCCTCTGCTGATCAAAGGACGACTCAAACCACCTCTGCGTGGCATTTTCGCAGGTGCATCCCATTCCATGTCTTGGATACAAGGACGCCATCCATAGTGGTAAGGCGGAAGGTGTTGGGACCTGTCTTTTCTCCGATGAGGAGAGGCTGACAATTACTTGTCTATGCTTGGCGACGGAGCGCGTGTTTGGGGGGCAGAGATATTTATATAGAGCTTGTAAGTTGCCCCTTTGCGTGGGTTGCCTAAGGAAGCACGAGTTGTAGGTTGTTCAAAATGCAAGTGTATTACTTTGAGCAAAAGCGGTCACTTGGTAGCGACCAATACACTGTTACAAGTGGAAGGAGTGTTCCTTAACCACTAAACTAGCCCTGAGCAAAAGTGGTCATCGGGTGGCAACCATTACACGATTACAAGTGGCGGGAGATTTCCCGAACCACTAAAATATCCTTGCAGTAATATAAGATGTTCTAGATCGCTTCTGAATAATACTTTCTCAGATGCATTCCGTTCCAAGTTTTGGAGATTGGGTCGCCCTCCATGGTGGCGAGTCTAAAGGTACTGGGACCTGTCTTTTCGCCAATGAGAAATGGGCCTTCCCATGTGGCAGCCAGTTTTCCATGTTCGCCTTTTTCTGGAAATCTCGCTTAAGCACCATGTCTCCTTCTTCAAGGGGGCGTGGCTTCACTCTCTTGTTGTAAGAGGTGGCCACTTTTGCCTTCTCACTGAGGATGCGCTCCAGGGCCGCATCTCGCCGGGACTCAATCATGTCCAACTGTTCCAAGAGCTTCTGGTGGTTAGACTCCGGATCGTATGCTTGGACGCGAAGGGAGGGGAGGTTCAGTTCCTCGGGTGCGACCGCTTCGGAACCATATGTCAGAGCAAATGGGGTTTCACCAGTAGCGGTTTTGTAGGTCGTGCGATGCGCCCACAGGATATGCGGAAGTTCACTTACCCATGCCCCTTTGACATCCCTTAGACGCTTCTTCAGTCCTTGGAGGATCAGCTTGTTGGATGCCTCAGCCTGACCGTTTGTTTGTGGATATGCCACGGAGGCCATTGTGCATGTAATGCGGTTTCTGGCGCAGAAATTTTCAAACGGCCTGCAATCGAACTGCGTACCGTGGTCGGTGACAATTGACTGCGGGATGCCGAAGCGGATCATGATATTGTTGAACACGAACTTCTGCACTCAGGCGCTCGTGATCGTTTCCAGCGGTTCCGCCTCTATCCACTTGGTGAAGTAATCCACCACTACCACCAAATACTTCTTGCCTAACAGAGCCGTGGGAAAAGGTCCCAGTAGGTCGAGACCCCATCTAGCGAACGGCCAGGGGCCCACGACGCTCTGTAGCTCGGAGCTAGGCAAGTGGTGTTTGGAGGCGTGGACTTGGTATGCGTGGCATTTCTGAACGACGTCTGAAGCGTCTTTCTTGACCGTGGGCCAGTAGCATCCTTGTAGGAGGACTGTTTTCTCGAGCGACCTGGGACCTGCGTGTGTTGCGCATGTCCCTTCGTGAATTGCCCGAAGCGTCCACTTCGCCTCTTCCGGGCCGAGGCATTTCAGGTATGCTCCCGAGAATGATCTTTTGCAAAGCTGTCCATTCACAATGGTGTACCTTACCGCTTTTCGTTTGAGCGCCTTTTGCTCAACTGGGTGTTGTGGGGTGATATCGTGTTCCAAGTATTGGAACATCGGCGTCCTCCAGTCTGATGCGTCCCCTATGGCCATGACTTCTCCAGGGAGATCGCTTTCTTTGGTAACAGTGACGTGGCGGTCTCCCTCAAAGTCCATAGTA